GTCACTGTGTACGGTTAATTGCTACATCATCATTATGTTCAGTTATTTGTTGTATTGTCATTGTTTGTCAAGTGTTGTATGTTCTTTGCTTTTCAGAAGCTTCTGTTAAGCATTACATCTCCCAGGTCAGTGCCGTCCTTGTCAAGTTGTTCCTGGTAAGACCTCTGTTACCCTCATTCCAGTTAAGTCTCACATATAACTGAGGTGGTGTTCTCATTTCAGGTTCATCTCACTTTATATTCACTATCACATTTCTATCTAATTTTCTGATTATATATTGTAAAGTAATCTGCTGCTGCCTGGTAGGATTAATGCATTTTGACCTGGTTGGTTGGTTCTTTCTCTCTGCTCTTTTTAGGTCAATGTTTGCATGAAGGTTGAAACTAGTCCTATGTTTACGAGTTAAACAATGTTTGAAAGTTGCTTAAACCCAGACTAAATTTCACTCACTTTTAAAAAAAAAGTAATAGTAACAGTAATAGTTGGAAACAAATATCAATTTGCAAGTTTTACGTCCACAGTAATTCCTCTTTCATGCTTGAAGGGGAGGATGAATTGTAAATACATCAATTGATGCCACTAAATGCTACACACTGGACCTGGCCTTTAAGTTCTCAGCAATAACAGGAACTGCAGTATATTGGCAGCCAGTCTTGCACATATGCATCATTATTGCACAATAATCCCAATTATTTATTGTTATGAAGGTGTGACCAAAGACGTGAGGAAGGTTTAGGAAGATCCGGTTGTACTGGCTGTGTAAAAAGCTTCTAAAAGAAAAAAAGTTCCAGTGCGCTCTGGTGGCTTAGAGGTTATGCATGTATCCTGGTTAATGTCGCATTATGGGCCTTTGTTGCATATCATTCTCTATCTCTATCCCCTCATTTCCTATTATCACTCTACTGTCCACTGTGTAATAAAGGCATAAAACACCTAAAAACTTCAGAGAAAATGTTACTTCATTCTATTCTTAAATTATGGTGCTGTGAGCAGTCAAGTGAACTGAGCAGCATTGTGGGACATCCAGTAACCATGCAGTGTCCATATCCACCACAACAAAAGAATAACAGGAAGTTCCTCTGTAAGGGAGACGACCACGTCAGCTGTACAGACATGGTCACGAGTCAAAGCAGGTTCACGCTGCAAGATGACTCTTCCAGCTCTTTCTTGGTGATGATCACAGAGCTGAAAGCAGGTGATGCTGGGACATACTGGTGTGGTTCAGACTCACACTAACTTTGATAGTGTGTGTGTTTTTAGATTCATAGCAACAAATAGACTTCATACACACATATGCCTGCAAACTAATTGTGTGACCATTTCTTTTGCTGTTTGCAGGAGATGAAGCTGTCAACATGAACAGAAACAAAACCAAGGCAGCAGAGGCAGAGGAAGTGATGGATGGCACAGATGTAAGTACACAAAAGTCCAAAGTCTTCCTAATGG